TGTGTGTGTGTGTGTGTGTGTGTGTATATACAGTAAGGAGCATAACTGAACCAATAACTACAAGATTTATACAAATCATCATTTATTGTTAATAAAACTAAGGAACATAAAAATATAAATATTATATTTGTTTTCATCATAGTTAGAAATAACATAAAGAAAGTTTTCAACGAATAATGTCTTCTTGTTCATCAATAGCAAAAAAAATATATTGATTCGATTTTGCACCACGTTCAATAATTGGCATTTTTTAATACATTATTTAGATCTAATATTTCGTCCACAATTCTTTTGCTTGTAAAACTGTATTAATTCGCCTTGGCATACTCTCTATCAACGTTTTGCAATAATCTGGAGATATTTGTTCCTACTGTTCTTGAATTCTACATACAATACAATATAATTCCATGGTTGAAGTTGGTTGGGAGTCGTATGATTCTTTCAACTGCCTTTTTAGTAAACCCCATATATTCTTTATGAAGTTAAAATCGGGGCTTTGCGCAGGCCAATCCAAAACAGAAAATTGTTTAGTATTGAGTAACAATTTTGCACTTTTAGCTGTGTGCTTAAAGTCTCGGTCATGCATGAAAATTACATCTTTCTTTTCAAATGGCATATTTTCAACAGTATGTAAGAGATTGTAACGCTATTTCGCGTTCCGTGCGGGATAAGCTGCGAGTCGGTGTGGTCCGGATTCGAGCAGATGTCAATAATCGTGAAGACAGTGGGATGGATAGTATAATAATATATATTGTCGATTAGATGGCTATTTACAATGCGTATGTACAGGTTGAGTCGACGCCGTTGGCTTCGCGCGCGGGTTTTTGTGTTCGCGCGTGTTGATGTCTGCTGCGGCCGCGCTCGGCTGTGAGACCGCTGGCGGTCGCGGGACGCGGGCGGTCGTGTGACGCGTCGATCGTGTTGTGCTTGCGGCACGATGTTGACGTTTGGATCTTTAATTTTTGGTCGCGCGAAGAGAGCCGTTACTTGACGGCTAATACGGCTTTGCGGGCGTGATGCGTCGGATTTGGCGTTGCGGCCGTGCGCTAAGATGCGGTGCCGCGGGGATCGATTTCCCCGGGGCGGCGGTGCGGTTTCGCGGGGTCGACCTTACGAAGGTCCTTAATCGAGTAAGGTGACGGATCGGTACGCGAGGATGTAGGCTTTACGAATCCGACACGTCTCCGCGAGTGTCAACTCTACGAATTCAACGAGTCGACGGAGCGGTAGCCGGTACGGATTTAATAAGGCTACGTGGCTGTCGGCTTTACGAATACAACACGCCGACGGAGCGGTAATCAAGGATGTCGACTTTACGTATCCAATAAGTCGACAGAGCAGTATCGAGGACTGTCGACTTTACGTATCCAACAAGTCGACGGAGCGGTAATCAAGGATGTAGACTTTACGAATCCAATAAGTCTACGCGGATGTCGACTTTACGAATCCAACAAATCGACGGAGCGGTATCGAGGAACGCCGACTTTAAGTATCCAACAAGTCGACGGAGCGGTGACGAGGAAGGTCTAGGAAACGGTGTTCTAGTTAGCGGTGTTCGCGAGGTGCGATTGCTGTCGGAGTCTGAGCTCTGTTCAGCGGAGTGCCTCGGAAGACTGCTCTCTACTGAGCTTTTCGTGCGGTCTTTTATACTACTTTTAACATGATATTATGTTGTGATCTTTGCGGTCGGTCGCTGATGTTTACATCGGTTTGTCGCGTGTTCGATTTCGTGACGAGTCGTTTGATTATCGTTAATCCGGTTCTTGTTCTATTTGTTTTGCGAACGGCTCGTTACAAGATGCTCTTATAAAATATCCTTGTACATGAATTGATATATAACGCCATTTATTCGACGAAGTGAACCAACACCAAATGTTGTTAAACATCCCTAAAGCATTATGAATCCGCATCCATGTTTTACTGTTTGTTGTATATGTCGTGGTTTGAGAGTTTCATCTTTACGAATCTAGCACCAAGATGTTCCATCTGAACAAATTCTACGCGGTGATTCGAAGACAATGCACCACTGTCTATTCTTATCTCGGCGCGGTGCGGCAAGACATAGGAGCGCAGCGGTATAAGTATAAGCAGTGATGCATTGTCTTCCAATCACCGCGCGCAATATCTGCGCGCTATATTACTGGGCCGCGCTGTGACTCGAGAGGTCCGTCCTCTACCATTCAGCGAGCGTTTTTCCTTAATTTTTTTAATTAATATCTCGGCTATTATTGCGAATTTTGCAATAATAAACGGTATAGGACTTTTATGTTCACATCAACCCATTCTACGTCCCCACAAAATGCCCAGAGGAGAGTGTGAGACACCCTGTATATATACCAGGTGTATATCTATGAAATGCGGATTTTTTTAAGGAAAAACACATGTTAATTTGAAATGAATGGTTAAAGCTATTTATTTGAAGAATATGCCATTCAACGCTACAACTTTTTCCCATCTTTCTGGCAAAAGATAGATTCCGCGACGATAGAAACTTTCATCCTTCGAAGCAAACCATGAATCGACCCATTTTTTCACTTCTTCAAAATTAACGAAGTGCTGCTCAGCCAATCCGTGCGCCATCGACCGGAACAAGTGATAGTCCAAAGGAGCAATGTCCGGCGAATACGGCGGGTGAGGTAGTACATCCCAATTCAATTCTTTTAAAGTTTTCTTGACAACTTTTGTGATGTGGGCCGGCGCATTGTCATGTAGCAAAATCACTTTTCCATATCTTTGGGCCCATTCCGGACGTTTTGTGATCAATGCATTGTTCAAATTGATCATTTGTTGTCGGTAGCGAGCAGCATTAACCGTTTCACCAGATTTGAGAAGTTCATAATAAAGAACACTCTTTTGATCCCACCAAACACAGAGCATTATCTTCTTTCCGAAGCGATTTAGTCTTGCAATCGATTATGATGGTTAGCTTGGATCAACTCATGATTTTCTTCATTTGGGATTCTCGAAATATATCCATTTTTCATCACCTGTAACGATTCGATACAGAAAACTCTTCCGTTGATGTCTTTTCAGCAGGAGTTCGCTGGTTACTTTTCGATTCTCCATTTCAGTCAAATCGTGTGATACCCATTTTCCTTCTTTTTGAATCTTTCCCATTGCGTGCAAACGCTCGCTAACACTTTCTTGAGTCACATTTAATACTTCCGCCAATTGTGATTGAGTGGAGTCTTTATCCAACAATGCTTGCTACACTGCATCTTCAAATTTTTTCGGTGGTTTTCTTTTAGTCTTGTTTTTCACATCAAAATCACCAGTTTTGAATCGATTGAATCAACGTTTACAAGTGTCTTGAGGGTGCATGTTTAACATATGCATGTTTAACATGCAAGGTGCATGTTCACTGTAAGCTTCTACAAGTATTCGATAAATTTGAGCAGCAGTTTTCTTCAAAATGAAGTAATGAATCAAAACTTCCCATAAATAGTTTTTTTTATACGAAATTCGACATTTTCAAAGCAGAAAGGACTATGATATTTACACTCTCACAATTTTCCACATGTATGGTTTTGTAGGTTAGGAATAGCCAAACAAAATACTACATATGTCAAATCACCACGCGTAAGAACATATATGTGGCACCATCTGTTAAAAAAATCCGCATTTCATAGGTATACACCTGGTATACAGGGTGTCCTGCGTAAAATGTATGAAAAGAAAAATATAAATAGAATACATAAAAGTGAACAAAAATTGTATAGGTCATTTTTCAAACAACGACGTAAAATTTCGAGATATTAATTAAAATAGTTGGGCATATCAGAGTGCGGCGACATGGCAAGCGGGACATACAGCTCACCGCGGCCGACGAAAAAAATGGACGATTGCTCGCAGGTCTATCTTGTGACGTGGCGAAGTCGCCAGTAGTAAAGATATTAAATCAACCGAGGACGTGAAAGGGCATCGGGCTCGCGCCTCCTTCCTCCGCGGGAAGGACGGCTGCGTAGGGTTGTCTCGCATGCTTTTTGCGTGCGAGACCTCGTGGTTATATCTTTTTGTGTTCTTTTTGTTTTCTGTAAAGAACGAACGCGTCCGTTACCAAATAAGAAGCAGCGAGGAGACGAACCGACAAACTGAAGGACGCAGCGCCGGGGGAAGTGAGACCACGGACGGGCAGAGCAGGGGCAGGATCCACCCTACGCCATAGAAGGCGAGGGGCCCCTAAGAAAGCTCAGGAGACCGCGGACGCGCTGAGCCCTGGAGAACGTCTTCGGGGGACGCCCCGAAGACCGAACTATCTCCAGGAGCCGCCGGCCGCGGACACCGAAGCCGAATATCCATGATGCCAAGGTAATGCTCTGTATTTGGTGGGATCAGAAAGGTGTGATCCACTATGAGCTGCTAAAACCTGGTCAAACCATCACAGGAGACTTCTACAGGCGACAATTGATCCGTTTAAAGCGAGCTATAGCCGAAAAAC